TAAGGGGTTAATAATGGCTGGAGACGGCTTAAATGGGTTTTGTCGAAACGTTGTACATTTGCTGTCATGTTAAACTTATATTAAAGTTTTTCTTCATTACCCATTTAAGCCGTCTCCAGCCATTATTAACCCCTTATGTTACGTCATTTTAGTGTCTACTGACTGACTGACAGAAAACATACTTCACTGGTTAAAACAGGTGGCCCTGGGACACCTTTCGGGAAAACAACATTTTTCTCCATATACTTTCTCATTCACGAATTTTGTATCAGCTCAATAATATCAAATCACATGAAACTAAATATATTTTACTTTTAAATTTCACACTGTTGACAACATATTAAGGCTTATACGAATTTGTGACTGATTTCAAACGCTTTACGAGAAGTAGTTAACAGCTACACATATTTTTCCAATGAAGTACTAATTGAGATTAAATACAGGCTTTATATTTCTAGTAATCACACAGGAAAATTCAAATATACAATTTCTTCCCGGAAGGGTGTTGCATACATTAAACCTTGCATATAATAACCAGCAAAGTATACATGTTTTATTATATATATATATATATATATACACATATATATATTGTTTTTGCGTTGCAAGTCGGTAGACTTACTGCCGTCCCACCTTGAGGCATATCATAACGTAATTAATATAACCTACATATGTTTTTCCGATCATAAATAAACGTACGGCTTTCGAGAGTATTTAATTTTAATTCAGTCATCATCATATGCGTTTCAGACGTCCACAAATATAATTTAAAATAAAATAAGGATCCACACAAACAGTTTGCACCCCGTTGTGTGTATAAATATGTTATGGAAGTAAAGTATTTAACCATAAATATATCTGTACGTCTTATATCTGCCGCTGAAAGTAAGCTGTTTCTTTCATCATCCATCTCATAAGTTTTTGTTTTCCGCTCTAGAATGCGTTCAACATAACTATATTTAGAGACAGATTAGTTACGTCGTACGTATTAGTGTTTCTCTAAATCTGAAGTAAAAAAATATCACCAGTGCGAGTCTCTTGTACAGCTTCACAGCTTGGAATTTAAAGCTTAAAACAAGTACATACATGTGGATTAATACCCCTTAAATGAATTATAATAACGTACGTAAACAGACACATAGCACGTAGAGAAATAAATACACACAGAGATGAAAAGACAAACAAATACCAAGAAATATATGTATTCAAGAAGAATAACAAATATACAAACAAAAAGATAATCACGGATACTCAGGCAGATGGAGGGATGAAACACACACAGAGACAAACAGAGGTGGAAACAAATAAACTGGTGGACATAAAGGCGAAAATACATACATACAAATAAGAAACATAAAAGAATACCAAAATATGTATAAGAAAAGTATGCAAACAGAGCTAAACAAGTTAACATACATTCATTACTGGTAAAAGAGAGAAAGATGGGCATGTATTTATAACGATATTTCCAGTGCACAAATAAGTTGTTTTATCCATATAGATATGTCATCTCATTATGCATTTCAGAAGGCGTATACGTCATAATGATTAAAGGGGCTATCTGGAAAGAGAGTTATACATGAAATATATTATTATAAAAGGTGGTCGAAGTCGTACAAAAGCACCTGGTATTATGTGATGCAGCTCAACCTTAATTACGAGCAAACATCATCAAGTCAGTTTCGACCCGTTCTTTACATATAAAAGCATACACATTCAAGTCATTATGTACACTGCACAATGGATGTGTCCTCTTCCACACTTGTCACCATACACAGAAACAGAGAATAAACAGAAGTGTTATGTTTCATACAAACTAAATTCGTCAAAAGCGACTGTTGTTTTGTTAAAAACATTTTCTCCAATGTACATATCACACCCGATGTTCTTTGTCTTGTAAATATTTGTCTAATGCTCCACTTTTAAAAGAAGTGCTCTAGACAAGCAAAATCGTTTATGCATAAAACAGACACTTCAACATCTACTGATCTTAACAATAACGATGCATTTCATGACATTTTCTTACACATAATGACAAACACTAGCTCTTTGACATTAGAGATAACTATCTAATTAAAAATACTGCTTTAGCACTAGTTTAATTATGTTGCACAAGCCGAGTATACCTAATCACCAAACAAATTAAAACTCTTCGACAATAGGAAATCTCACTTCGACATACCTTTTTTTGAAATCAAATTCTTTTCGATCATTGCGAATATTCATCATGAATACAGAGTTATGTAATTCGGTGGTATGACGGTATTATAAAAATAATTTTTCAATTCAATGGATTTTACAGATTCAACAGTTCAAGCAAAATAATACTATATATAACTCTAGAAATCGCCAAATTTGTCAAATAATGCTTAATAGCATCTTCTTTTGATTTAGCATGATGTTTACTTTTCGCAGTTACTTAAGCTGTTTATGTAAAAGTTTGAAGGAGAAACACACACACACTCATTTTGAGTAACAAATTGTTCGATCGCTCTATGTAGCTTATTGAAAGTGAAACGGAACAAAATAATAAAACTTTGCTTAACCAAAAATATATCTAATTAGCACAAAATTTCAGAATTTTTTTTTCTTTGTGGGGTTTGAGAACTACCTTGTTTTTGTCTTAAGAAACAATTTCGTCCAACAGTATTAAATCAAACGTAAATTAATATATTCTAAAATATTACTCTGAGCAACATTGTTTTTTCATCGAATGTAAGGAAAGGTTTATTCTATCGACATAATTTTCAGCAACATTTTAAGGGCGTTAAAGATGGAACATTCTATTGGGTGGCACTTCGATGTGTCAACATATTTAGTATGTACTAATTAAACTATTTAATTAACTTTTTTTTTCCTTTATGCAGCCTACGCAAATTTATGTTACTTCAATTATATATATAGCCTTTTTTTAGCTTTGTGCTTAATAACAAATAATAACATGTTTAATTCAAATTGATCAATTATGATAAATAATTTCACCGTAACCTCCTAAAATTCTTGCAATATCTATTTCAAACAAGTCATGCAATAAAATATAACAGCAAAAACTAATTTGTAAAGTTACAAAATGAAATTATTTTATACTATTTTTGATACACACTTCGAGTATGACTACATAAAACTACACAAAAAGCTATTGCGCACAGCTCTACCAAATTCTGAGCTAACAGACAAAAGAGATGACAGCGCCCACCGAGTAGTAGGATTTGAAAGTCACTCTTATAGTGCCCTCCACAGTCCCAAGATGGGAACGCATTTTTGGGGCAACGAGCCGCGAGCCAAGAACCCTCGAATTCATAGTTTAAGTTCGCTAAACCCAAGTCGGGCCCGTTACGCCAACGACGCAGATATAAAATGCTCAATCTTTATGGGTTTTTAGCAAATTACAAAAGCAGCTGCCATCTCTTCAGTCAAATTCTCTACAAAGGAAGCTTATGTTGTACATATTCTTATTACGGTATCTACATTATTTTTCTTACCCAACAAAGCCATGTTCAACTTTCAACATAATGTTAAAAATTAGTTTGTTAGAGGGTTAGCCTCAACGCCTCCCCCCCCTCCCCCCCCCTAACGTTCTCTTAGTAGATGTAGCTCCTCTGATTTCTTTGGAAAGGTAGTTTACCTGAATCCTATTCTAAAATATATCCACCACCACCCCACAATGTTGCATTTTCACCCTGATGGACAATGTTTGTTTTTCAAGAGATAATGCAATAATCCATTGTTCTCTTATTGCTCCGAACAGTATTCCAGCACAACCACTGGATCTTAAACGGATTGAGTTTTTTTTTTTTTTACTATGATCGTCGCATTTATCATCTTACTTCACAGCAATCCACTATTGTAAAAATGAACAAAACGCGTCTTATTACGAGGAGTCTCCGTATGCTCCTCGACGAATCAAGGCTACCTTCGCAGCAAAAAGTAACCCTTATTTAACAAAAATTAATTTTGGTGTTAGTGAGATTTGATTAGTAATGTGAGAAATGTGTGAAATCCGGAAACAGTATTTGGTGAATTACGTAAAAAATATAATGAAGTACATCAATTACATCGCTCTCGAATTTCTTTTTAAATCTTATGATTGAGCGAGTCTTTGTACAAGTAATGCGATAATTCCCAGGGCATTTAGTTCACTACAATATTACAGTAATTTATCCATTTATCATGATACATTAGTGTTAATAAAATATTTTCCATGATCATAGAAGATTCATCATTTATCATATTATGGAAAATTGACTTAATCGTAAGGGAAGATATATCGTTATAGTGAATAAAAAACAAATTTTAAAATGGAAGAAAAGCTCTCAAGTAGTAGGCAGGAAAGATAAACCAATGAATAGATTGAATTAAATAAAGTAAATAATTATAAAAGAATAAAACAGTAATATATTAAAAAATGGCGAGGAAAACCCAAAAGTTGTGTTGAGACACGAAAACACGTTTTTAGTTATTGCTAGACAGTTTTCATTACCTAAACAAGTTCCTAAAATGTGTACCCCTCCTCTCTCTCTCTCTCTCTCTCTCACACACACACACACACACACACACACACACACACACACACACACATATATATATATATATATATATATATATATACATATATAAATTACCTGACAAAATGATGCGGAATATTTCGTCTGTTTGCTGAATTTGGCGCAAATCTAATCGGAGGGGGATATATCTGTGCTGGCCGTTCCTAATTTAAAAATGATAGACTAGAGGAAAGGCAGCTAGTCAATACCACCACCGCCAACTCTTGGACTACTCTAATCGGGGATGTCCGTCATATAACGCCCCCCCCCCCCATGGCTGAAAAGGTGGGCATATTCGGTGATGGGATTCGAATCCGAAACCCACAGATTGCGAGTCAAGCGCATTAACCACTAACCCATGTCAAGCTCTGTCAAGTTCACAATTTTAATTTTGAATAATTCTGTTTCACAGATGGCGCTTTCGTCACCTAAATGCTGCTATTCGGAAAATAATTTGTTTTCTTCAACATACAGTTTCCGAACAAATCTTTGCACCCTTTGATGCTAACTATAAGTTTAGGGGTTCTATCCCCCCCGCGGTGGACAGAATGCAGATAGTCCATTGTGTAGTTTTGCACTAAGACAACAACAACTGATGCTAATTTGTATAACAACTTTTAATTTTTCTGTTTTTTCACGCTCGAATAGAAATTTCACTTAGATCTGGAAATTATAAAATCATTATTTGACGAAAGTCTGTGTATCCACTTATAACTGGCGAACCGCTAAACCGATTATTACCAAACCTGCGATACACCGTTAAAGGCCCCCACAGAGGGACACATGGAGTTGGCATTCGGATCTGACCCCCATTATTCGATGACAAAAAACCCACTTTGAGACTAATAATGGTTGGAGACGGCTTGAATGGGTAATGAAGAAAAAAACTTTAATAAGTTTAACATAACAGCAAATGTACAACGTTTCGACAAGGTTTTGTCATCATCAGGTACCCATTCAAGCCGTCTCCAACCATTATTTGACCACCATTATGTCATCCCCGGGGGCTCTTATGTCTTCGCAGTGAGTTGAATGGGCAAGTCATTTATTATAGAATAAATCAAACGGGCTGTGGTTTCTTGAAGAGTGGTAGTTTACAAATCATCGATATTTCCTTTGAGATTTTTCAGACGTCTTTGTTAAACTTCCAGAATATCACATATTCGTCGATATGTGATACGAGAATTTACAATCTCCTTACAAAGTCTTACCTACTTTCAGCAAAGATTATTTAAAATCGAATAACAAGCTTCTCTGACTTTTTCTCAATGTCTTTACCGTTGCCAATTCAATTCATTTGGAATTCCACTTCAGTAGCACTCATTTCTACGCGATTAGATTGTTTGTTTGTTTTTTGAATTTCGCGCAAAGCTACACGAGTGCTATTTGCACTAGCCGTTCCTAATTTAGCAGTGTAAGACTAGAGGGAAGACAGCTAGTCATCACCACCCACCGCCAACTCTTGGGCTACTCTTTTACCAACGAATAGTGGGATTGACCGTCACATTATAACGCCCCCACGGCTGAAAGGGCGAGCATGTTTGGTGGAACGGGGATGCGAACCCGCGACCCGCAGATTGCGAAAGCGATTAGAAGTAAAATATTCAACATTGAAGAAATTCTGGGTTATTTTTGTCATTTTTCTTTTGTAGAAAACAACTACTGCATGCTATAGCCCGTTATTTCATTTTATCTATCATTTTTTTGCTTGCGTTGGTTTTTGTTAATTGATACATGTGATAAAATTGCTTGTTGAGTGAAAATACATAGACACGAGAGATACAAATCACTTACCAAATTATAGAAAATAATGTGACGACATCGTATGCAAATGACTTTTCCAATATTACAAAACGTTTTTTCAGTCTCCCCTCCCCGGTGAAACAGCGGTAAGTCTTCGAGTTACAACGCTAAAGTCGGGGGTTCGATTCCCCTCTGTGAACACAGCAGACAGCCCAATGTGGTTTTGTTATAAAAAAAAACACGTTTGTTTTTAAAGACAAGAAGCTCTTAACTTCCAATAGCAGATATTAAGTACGGACAGCCCGATGTGGACGTTTGTTTTTAAAGACAAGAAGCTCTGTACTTCCCAATAGAAGGTATTAAGTACAGACGGCCCGATGTGGTTTTGTTATAAAAAACACACACGTTTGTTTTTAAAAACAAGAAGCTATTTATTCCCAATATGACGGTAAACTCCAAGCTTTTCCACAATATTTTTTTTAAGTGATAGAAATTTCAACAAGTTGGCTACAATAACAAAAGCCTCGAAGAATATAACCGTCAGTCAATGGTCAACTTCCAAATCATTTTAACCAAGCAATATCATGAAAATACAGAAACAGCCTATGATTGGTAGTCACCAAAATTTATCAATGTCTCAAGGTGTTGGTTTAAAGTGGTCAATATTGATCTGTTAGAGATAACTAAAGCCTAGAAATATATATATATATATATATTTTTATATTCAACAGATTCAGTTATAAAAGGACAGATTTTACAGTCGGGATTGCTGCGATACATACATCTAGCATTGGAGATAAATGATAAACTCTGATCAAGCTAGTTTGTTTTTCGCAATATGCCTGGTACAGGGCTAACAAAGTAGAGAACCACTTAGAGCGGCAAAATAAAGGAGCTACGAAATAAAACAAAAATTATCAATAAATTAATTTTCCCAGGTTTTTTAACACTTTTAATATCACTTCTCTTACTATGTGTCCCATGGTGGGTCACTAGTAAGTTTACTAACTCACAACGCTAAAATCCGTGGTTCGATGCAGAAAGCCCATTGTGTATCTTTGGATTAAAACAAAACAAACTCCTACTATGTTTCCCCTAATTGTGGGTAACCAGTGGGGATGTTTAGCTTCGCGCCCTCTAGTAGATATTTATTGCTTTTTAGAAAGCATAAAGGATCAAAATATTCCATAACCTTCTAAGTATAAATAGCAAAAAAAAAATTAAAAAAATAAAAAAAAATAAAACTTTGTAAACAAGGACATTTTGGTATATCCAAGCAAGATGCGAGCTTGACAAACTTTATTTTTTTGTCCTGGACGCTGCAAAATATTAAAAAAATATTCTTAAGTTTGAAAAGTTTGTATAAAATGAAAGTTAAAACATTGATAACTCAAAACACGTTCAATATTCACAATTTTATTTCGGAGTCATGCCTTTCTTTTTTTGCGTTTGAAATGAACAATTTTTGGACTGGTTCTTGGGTGCTAGACTACATTTTTTGCAATCTCCTTCGCATACTATGTTTGAAGGTAATTCATTTTTGGCAAAAAGTATTTCCTTTCAATTGTTACTGTTGATTGACTCTGAACAAAAATGTCTTTGAACAACCGGTCAAAGAATAGATCTTCAATAACAACGTTCACGCTATACTGTTGTCCCCGAATTTGAAGGTTAAAAGAGATTCCTTTCCTTCTTTTACCCATTGTCTTACACACAAACAATAATATGACCATTTCCCTCATTTAAGAGTTCAAACCATCCAGACACGTTACATGATTAAACTATTTTGCATATGCAAATACATGGTGTGTTCCAGAAATGTGGGTGGTGAGGGCCTAATCAAATGACCAGTTAGTGCACGCCTTAGGATTTATTGCATATTCAGATTATAAATTATTAGTATGCATATTTACTAACACATTAAACCAAGCATTTGTTGTTTAGCTGGAGGAAGTTTAACGTAAAGTCTGGATTGTTGTACAAATTTTAGAAAACAATGTGAGCCATATAAAAAGCGAGTTAGGCTACAGTTGGTAAGTTTGTTAGAATGAGGTATTGAGTGATTGGGTTTGTTAGTCAGTTAATGTGTAATCAAGATATAATTCAGTTAGTTTTTCTGTTACTTTTAACCAGTAACTTAGTTTAGTACAGCGAATATTGAAATCTTGTTTCGACGAAGAAAAGACGTACCAAATCAGGTAGAAAGTAAAATTTTTGAGCAGACGTAGTTTTAAGCCTATCAGCGAACGTTTCAAGTTCAAAAAATAAAACGTGTTTGTTATCCTTGGGTGAACTGGACTTTACATTGTTATTTTTCATTGAATATCCAAAAGAATTCAACCAACAATATAAACCATTACAACAGTAAAAAAACAACAACATAGAATTACCTTCACCAGTTATTTTGTTTTTCAATAACTATGGGTACTTGGTTGGTTAAAATGTTTCACAATTCCAAAACGTTCAGACATTTGAAATGTTCTTTTTTTTTTTTTACATGTTCACTATGGTGAGTAACCGAAAACTCAAAACCACACACATAATACATGTTTTCAGGCTTTTTGTAATAATTTCAAAATATTAATTTCTCTAACATTTGACTGAACCCACAGCACCGTTACTGTTTAAAAAAATATTTGCATGTTCATTCAGTACTTTCTGTCATCCATCTATTCTTGAAGAACAGTAAATAGCTGCCGCGACTGTCTTTTGAAATTGAGTAGTAGTCTTGAAATTTAACGCTTAGTAGATGATTAAAGACTTGGGCATGGCAAGGCCTGGTGGTTAGGGAGCTCGACTCGCAATCTGCGGGTTCGAATATCCCGTCGCTGAATATACTCACCCTTTCAGCCGTTATAATGTGACGTTCAATCCCACTATTCGTTGGTAAAAAAGTAGCCCAAGAAAAGAGTTGGAAATGGGTGGTGTTGACTAGCTGCCTTCCCTCTAATCTATCACTGCTAAATTAGGGACGGCTAGCGCAGATAGCCCTCGTGTAGTTTTGCGCGAAATTCCAAACAATGAAAGAACAAAACTTCATTTTCAACAAACACCTCTTTACAGTTCTATGTTTATCTTAGTCGTAGAAATGTTAAGGTCCCTTGCAAGTTATTTGCTCACTTCATTTTCTTTGTCAAGAAGATTTGATTTGTTTTTTGCGACAATTTTTCTTCTCCAATGCAAAGTGTAGACGAATTACAACTTTTATGCTTGCTTGAAAATACACCAGGCCACCACCACCATCAAAGATGTATGATAACGATAAATCTCTATAGGTTCAAACTGTCTTTGTCGTTCCGCCGTACAAATAGATCTGACATTTTCAGTGAGATCAATATCTGTATGCCACACCGAACACGACAGCAACATATATTTAACATCTCCAAAGAATTCGCTCATCCCCAGTTGGGATCTCGCTTGCTGCTTTCATAACGTTCTTCAAGTAAACATCTTGTATCACTAAGCCAAGATATTATGATCATTAGAGTATTCTAAAAAATGGTGTGCCAACTTGTGTGCCGATGTATAGATAGGGGAAAAAACTTAATAACTTATCTATATATCTGTCTATAAGATAATGTTTTAGATCAAACAGAAAAACATATTATTACATCATAAGAAGGTCGACAAAATCCACTCAGTCATAGACAATTTAAATGATAAAGGTTACATTTATAAGTTTACGTTCAACACGCACAAATGAACCCTACAAATAGGATTTTAAAAATGTAGCACAAGGTAAAG